CAACCTTTCCCTCCAGCACCCCTTCCCTTGTTTCCCTCCCTCTTCATTAACCTCGATCACTGGTTCTACATCCCACCATTCACGTCCCTTGTCTTCACGACTGGCTTTTATCTGGTCCTTGGTGAGGAGATCAGGTTTCTCTCATCGAGTAGCTTTGCTTTTGGCTTGTTCCATACATCCTCCTTCAATGGAGATGTATCAGTGCAAATGGAAAGTGTTCCACAGTTGGTCCGATACTCGGGGATTCCCTGCTGACTGACCTGCTATGGCTGAGTTTCTCACATGGCTTTTTGCCCAGGGGTCTTTGGCCTCTTTGATCTCGGGTTATTGGGCTATCTTATCTCATATTTTTCGTTTTTCCCAATACCATTGGGTTTTTACTTCCTCTGTTTCTTCCAGATTCGTCATCCCCTTAAACAGCATAGTCTTCTGGACTGGGATTTTAATATAGTCCTCCATTTCCTCATTTTACCTCCATTTCTACCTATTTCCTTGTGCTCCATGTTTCACTTCTCCCCTAAAACATATTTCCTTCTTCTTTTAGCCTGTGGATGTTGGAGGTCTGTTTTGTTCGCCATTGATGTTTCATGTATGCTTTAACACCACACTTATCTCCTTTATCCAGATCATTTCTTCCTCTCAAACCCCTTGGCAGCTAGGAAGGGTAACTCTTCCTTTTTTCATATTTCCATTCCTTCTATTTGTCATCTGTACCCTCGACCCTAAGGGATAGAGTTCTATATCCGGTCTGTACTCTTCCTTGTTGTAATGCCTGCACAGCTTCCTTCTGTGGTAGCCATTCCTGATTCTTTATCTCTTGGCAGTCCTTCTCTGTTTGTGATCTATCACCTTTTACACTCACCAGTTAGGTTCAACTTCAATTGGCTTATTCCTCCTTGTTGTCTTCTCAATGGAATTTATTCAGGGGTGTCTTCTTCTCAGATTTGACACTTCGCCTTTTCCCTTGCATCTCGTCTTCATTGGTTTTTGGAGTAAATCCTACAATCAGGCATGTGGACTACACGTAATATGTTCATCTCCTGTTATATACACTATATTGCGGTTTCTTCTTCATTGGGTTTTCGTCTGCCACCTGTGGCTGTTCTTCATGCTTTAGTGTGACTTTGACTGCGTAAGTCTATGTTCATCCATTTTTTTTATGGCCCCCTTGCTTTATTTATTCTTTATAGTGATTTCGCTCTGTGGTGAATGGTGCCTGACCAGGTATTCTTCAACTTGAAATCTGCACTGTATAGCCTTGTTGACTTGCACTTTAACTTTCATGGCTTCATAATGCTTACCATTGAGAGGGGGTGTTCCACAAGATCTCTTGTAGGTGAATAACCTCACAATGTAATTGCTTCATAAACTTGCCTGTTCCAGATTCTACCAACCATGGACTACATTGGTAAAGCAGAAGGGGATAGCTGCTCATCCTTGCCATTCCTTGTATTGAATAAATTAGTATGATCTGCTTTTCAAAATAGGGTTTCCTAGTCACCCATTGCACTGTCTCAGGTGATGATTTTCCTCCAGACTCTCCACTGTGTTCTCACCCCCTCCCTTCTTTTAGTGGAGTATGGGAGTCCTTACCACTTTCCACTTCCAAGCTGCTGGGGTGGTCGTCTGTGGAGGCACTCTCCTCAATGGGTTCCACACACATAGATGGCTATAACCATTTAGTGCATAGTAGAGTGATGGTGTTCTGTGGGTGTAGATGATATGATATCCACCACTATGCATTATACAATCACTAAGGTGTGAAACATCAAATTGCAGTTCAACCCTTCAACTGGGAGCCCTCATCCTACTCCCCACGTGGGTGTCAGTACTTTGTGGCTGGGTTTTGGATTTAGAGTAGAATCAATCAACATAAGCCCTCACATGGTTATTTAAATAAGATAAAGGGAACTGTTCTGGTTCTGTCCAAGCATGTTATTGCTTTTGGATGGTTCCAGTCAGTTTTGCTGATTTATATTTA